TGGACGGCTATGTTGACAGAAAAGATTACATACTGTTGAAAATTGATACGGACATGAGGAATGTTTATCAAAAGATTATTCGGATTTTGCAAGGAAAATCGAAACGCAGTCGATGACGAATACCACTGGCTTCTGAGACGGTGATACACAGCAATAGGACGCCGGGTCTCTTCAGGGAGTAAGAAGGAGACGAAATGATAGTTTATGTTCAAAGACGTATCTGGTCAGCAAGACCAAGAACGTGAAACCGACCTCCGCCTTCGTCGCCGCAAGAATGTGAAACTAAAACGTTTGAAAATTCGCCAAACACTAAGATTGTCAATATATTCATCAATAAAAGTGTTAATAGTGAAATTTGTCGCTCAAGTGTAGAACATAATTTGTGTTAAATCTTAATGTGACCGGCTGGCTTATCAGACAGATAGTTTAATTGCGGTCACCTTAGTGTCAGAATCATGCCGTGAAACATTGGCTGGACATGCTCTCCACCAGTGAGACATTAACTGGTCACGGTTTAATTGTAGATCAGTAGAAGACACTTTCCCTATCAGAATTAGATTATAATTACTTTAGGATAAACTGTAAGACCACAGCAAATAGTGTCAGTCCGGGTGTGGCCGTGGAAGGAGTAACTTGTTAAGCTCGATACTCATGCCATACATGTTATCATTGTTGTAACTTGTGCTAATACACAACATTTGTACTTGAGAACTGTTGTTGCTGGTCTTTTGTATAACATAAGGATGGTACAACATAGAGGGGTAACATATTCTGGTGGCAGCGGTAAAGGATCATTCTAAGGAGAAGGACTCCGTTATCAAAGGTATAACGCTCATTAGAACTGTTCAATATGTCGACGCCTGAAGAAACGGAAACTGCGAAGGTGACGGCAGCACAAACAAAGTTGGAAATAAGAAGACTCGAAATTCAAGCAGAGAAAGAGGAAAAAGAACGCCAAATGAATTTCGAAAGAGAAAGGATGACGATGGAAGTGGAAAGAGAAAAGATGAGAATGGACGCCGAAGAAAAAGAAAGAGAACATCAAAGGGAAGTGGACAGAGAAAAGATAAGAATGGACGCCGAAAAAAGGAAAGAGAACATCAAAGGAAAGTGAAAGAATTGGAACTAGAGATTGAAAAAGCAAAACTTCAAAAGGAACGGAGTGAGACAAATTCTAACCCTGCACCGTTTAGACTGAAACTTCAACCTTATAATCATACTGAGAGTGAGGATATAGTGACATTCTTATAAGAGTTTACTGCTTTATCAACACAGGCTGGATGGACAGAAGAAGTAAAAATGCTACAGCTGAGAGCCTTGTTAACAGGTGAGGCCAGAGAAGGTAGCTATTCAAGCACATTGGTCATTTGAAGAACTTTGTAAAGCCCTAATGGACAGGTACGGGAAAAGGCCCTACCAATATTTCAAGCTATTACAGACAGCCAAAAAGGAACCTAAGGAAACATACAGAGGACTTATGGCAAGAATTGAACAATATCTTACTAGATTTGGGGATTCAGTAGAGGATGTCATGGAAAGATTCAAAGAGGAATATTTTCTTAGTGCATTGCCAGTGTCACAAGCACAATGGATACGCCGTAACAAAGGGTCGAGCAGTGTGGTTGAAGCCACAGAGGATTATATTCTACCTAAACGGAATATAAACAAATCAACGCAAGGTAAAAGTATAAATGGAAAAACTTTTACCTCTGATCGGGACCAGAGAAAGGAGAAATCGACAGAGCAAATGAAAAGTGTGCAGTGTTACAATTGTAACAAGTATGGGCATTTCGCGAGGAAATGTCCAAAAAACAGAGAAGGTAAACATGCTCAGGTTGGATTAGTGCCTGACCTTGTCGCTGAAGCTCTGTTGGGGGTAGACATCATAGAGAGACAATCAAAGGCTGTGAATGTTGTTACGCGTGCAAAACATCGTAATAACATTGCTGAAGAAAGGCTACCTGAGGACAAGGCAAAGGAATGCCATGTAAATGTTGGAATGGACCCCGATACGGACGTCGAGGAGGACCAAGTGGATGTCAGTAAGGGAAGTGATGTTGGACAGGCGAACGATGTGGACCTGGACCATGGCGATGACGTTGGTGAGGACACTGACAACATCAGTGAGACTGTATCTCACAGCAATGAGGACGATACAGTTAACATCACAACAGACGAACCACTTGAACTTTCTGCTGTAAATGCTGAAGTCCTTAGTAAGCTTCAACAGGAAGATCCAACTTTAGCAAACATTCGAAGAAAAGCTGCAAGTTCAGAGGAATCTGTGCAGGAAGATAGGAATGCCCTGTACTGGGAAAATGGGATTCTCCGTAGGAAATGGAAGTCTAGTAATGGAGCCCAACATGGAGTCCAGGTAGTACTACCAGAGGCACTACCTCTCAATATCATTAAATTGGGACATGACAGACCACTTGCGGGACATTTAGGGATAGAAAAGACCAAAGAGGGTGTCGTTAATTCGTTCTATTGGCCAGGGATTTTTAAGGACATACAGGAATACTGTAGTACTTGTAACGTATGTCAAAAGACCGCCAGAAGACGTGGTGACGAGAAAGCTCCATTAGGACAACCACCGATCATCAGTGAGCCATTTTACAAAATATCTATGGATGTTGTTGGGCCACTGTCTCGAACAAAGAAGGGGAACAGGTTTATTCTTACCGTTATGGATGACGTAACAAGGTACCCAGAGGCTTTTGCATTAAAGAATGCGGACGCAGAAACCATAGCTAACACATTGGTGGAACTGTTCAATAGGGTAGGAGTGTAGGGTAGGAGTGCCTCGTGTTATTCTGACAGACCAGGGCACAAATTGCACCTCAAAAATGATACAAGAACTCTACCGTGTGATGGGAATCAAGGGCATAACAACATCGCCATATCACCAACAGGCTAATAAGAAGGTAGAAAGATTTAACGCAACTCTCAAAGCTGTGTTAAAGAAACTCTGCACGTCAAAGCAGGAAGCCTGGGACGAGCTTTTGCCATATGCATTGTTTGCATATAGGGAAGTACCCCATGAGGAAACGGGATTCTCACCATTTGAGATGCTATATGGATGGCCGGTCAGAGGGCCATTACAGATTTTAGAGCAAGCCATGACAGGCGAGAGGGAGCTTAGAAAATCTGTCATTGACCATGTTGTTCAGATGAGAGAAAAGCTCGCAATGGTTAGAGAAACAGTACAGGAAAAAATGACAATCAAACGGCAAAAGATCCAAGAGTGGTACGACAGGAACGCCACAAAACGGGAACTTCGACCTGGGGACGAGGTTCTACTATTACTACCATCAATCACGTCAAAAATGGTCGCCCAATGGAAAGGACCATATAGGGTCATAAGGAAAGTCAACGACGTCAACTATGAGGTCAAGGTTGGAGGACGTCGTAAACGAGTTGTTTATCATATCAACCTACTACGGAAGTACAATAGAGCTGTCCAAAACGTCATGTTTGTCGAAAAGGTTGACATCGCCGATTCTGATTTTGACGGTTCTAATTCAACATTGGAGGTAACGCTGGATGTTACACTTGGCAAACTGTTAAATAAGTCACAGCGCCAAGAAATCCGCCAGCTTTGTCAAGAATACAGTGATGTCATAAATCCTAATCCGGGAAAAACATTGTTAGTTACGCATAGCCTGAGGACAACGTGTGAGAAACCAATCCGACAACAGCCATACAGAATTCCTCAAGCCAAAAAACAAGAGGTGAAGAAAATGTTGGATGAAATGACAGCGTGGTTATATAACACCTTCCTCAAGTCCATACTCATCTCCAATAGTTTTGGTGGAAAAGAAGGATACTACAACTCGGCTATGTGTGGATTACAGGAAACTCAACGACGTAACTGTATGTGACGGGTACCCAATACCCATGGTGGACGAGATATTTGAAAAGCTAGGCAAAGCTCAATACCTCAGCACTATGCATAGGGATACTGGCAGATACCTCTGTCTCCAGATTCACAGGAAAAGTCAGCATTCGTAACTGAATCTGGACACTTCCAATTCAAGGTAATGCCTTTTGGTATGAAAACAGCGCCTGCTACATTTGCAAGGATGATGGACAGACTGTTAGCAGGAGAACATGTGGTCGCTTACTTTGATGATATAGTGGTATACAGCGACACATGGAAGGAACACCTTGAATATTTCAAGACTGTATTGGACAAACTTCGGGAATGTGGATTAACAGTAAAGCCATCAAAATGCCAGTTTGTTGAAGAGGAACTTTACTGTCTGGGACACATTGTCGGGAAAGGAAAGCTTAAACCAGATAGTCGAAAGGTTCAAGCCATGGTTGACTTCCCCCTCCCACAAACCAAAAAAGGGATTAGGTCATTTCTAGGTATGACTGGTTACTATCGGCGTTTCATTCAGGATTATGCCAAGATATCGGCTCCATTGACCAACATGCTAAGGAAAGACAAACCAAGGCAACCCAAATGGACGGATGACACTGTAAATGCATTCAACCAACTAAAGGACGATATGACCAAGGCACCGGTACCAGCAAATCCGGATTTTAAAGAGCCCTTCATCATTCAGACTGATGCCAGCAACGTGGCTATTGGAGCGGTCTTAAGTCAGAATATCAACGATAAGGAACACCCTATTGCGTACATCAGCAGAAAGTTACTGCCGCGGGAACAAAATTACACTACAGTGGAGAAGGAATGTTTAGCTATCGTTTGGAGTGTGGAGTCATTCTCCTATTATATTAGTGGTGTTCACTTTACCATTTTGACTGACCACAATCCACTTAAATGGCTTGATAATACCAAGCAAAAGAATCAGAGACTGTTAAGATGGGCACTGGCATTACAACAGTTTCATTATACAATCAGGTATCGACGGGGCCAGGAAAATGCCAATGCGGACGGACTATCCAGAATTGAATAAAGAGTGTATGTATTTTGAAAAAAAATAAAGGACGAACACTGACTCTGGATGTATCATCAGTTCTTGACATGTGTTTTAAGGTTTTGTGATGTGTATACCTTAAGAACAAACAGTGACAGTCTGACAGAAGTACCTTATCTAAGGAAGTTAACAGTATCTGAATCAGACTTATGAACTGTGTTAATTGTAGAATTTAGAATTAACTGTTGTTCAAGTAAACTTGACCAGTGTTTGTGTACATACTAAATATTATCTCAGCCTGAGTATCATGAGCAGTTTGCTATCTCTGAACTTTTAGACCGTGAAAGTTTTCTTAGGCAGGGGGATGTTAATAGTGACATTTGTCGCTCAAGTGTAGAACATAATTTGTGTTAAATCTTAATGTGACCGGCTGGCTTATCAGACAGTTTAATTGCGGTCACCTTCTGTCAGAATCATGCCGTGAAACATTGGCTGGACATGCTCTCCACCAGTGAGACATTAACTGGTCACGGTTTAATTGTAGATCAGTAGAAGACACTTTTCCCTATCAGAATTAGATTATAATTACTTTAGGATAAACTGTAAGACCACAACAAATAGAGTCAGTCCGGGTGTGGCCGTGGAAGGAGTAACTTGTTAAGCTCGATACTCATGCCATACATGTTATCATTGTTGTAACTTGTGCTAATACTCAACATTTGTACTTGAGAACGGTTGTTGCTGGTCTTTTGTATAACATAAGGATAGTACAACATAGAGGGGTAACAAAAATCATATCGTACCAATTTATTGGGGTTTTAAGAATTCTTATTATGATAATTCCAGGGCGTGACTTGTCGTGTAAGAGCAGGATAACCGTAGAAGGACAACCCGTTGAGAAATACGGAAAATGACATACCGGACATGACGTGTGGAAATGACGACGGGGACGTGACATACAGGAACTGGAGGTGCCGCCATTTAAAAAAAAAATTAATGAGGGCACAGGGGCACAGGCAAATGTCATACTACTACTTGCCGGTTGTGTATCCTGTTTATTTAGATGATTCTAGTAGGTTAGTGATAAATGAAATATTTACCTCTACAATAGCTGGAGACTTTATCACAGGTTCCATTACAGGTGAAAGGACAATATTTGTCACAGACATCTCCATGCCTTCCTGGTTTACATTCTAAGTAAAGCATGAAATAATATATTGGTTACCACTATAAGTATAAACAATTTTTTAACCATTCTGAATAGAATTTGATTTTTGCACTACATCCAAATTAAATACATTAGTGAACTATCTTTGAAAAAAGATGAATACAGTAATGTCGTTGTCATTATCATAGCTTTTCAAGTATCAGCAGTTTGTCATTAAAATTATCAACCTATAACGTGTTTATTTTAAACGGTCCTTTTTGATACATATCACATGGAGATTTGAAGTGTGTCAGTTGTATGTAGATCAATGCAATAACTAATTTACAAGTATATTAACCTGTACACGATCCATTATTGGGTATACAGGTATTGGTTTTGCAGGTGGTAGGACAATCTTGATCACAGGCATCACCCCACTTTCCAGGAAGACAGTCTAAAATATAACTCAACCAATAGAATAATTCATTGGGATTGATTACCAAAGTTGTAGTTAGAGTTATTCAATGTAACATGTTAACATAACAAGAACATTTCAAAAATAATTATGAATTCAATAAAAAAAATCATTAGATAAACTCGAAAAATAAAAAAGGAAATTGATGACTTTCAGTAAAATAAACAAATGTGTATACGTTTTTTTTTTTTTTTTTTTTTTTTGTTTTTGTTTTTTAAAGTTTCATCAATTGCAAAATAACTCACAAAAGCAGGAACCAGTTACTCCGTTACAGTTGCCCCCATAACAGTTATGCGAGCAGTTTTTGTTGCAGTTTCCATAGCCATGTTTCTGTATAGGACACCCTACAAACACAGAATTTGTAGATTTTTATTAATCATCTCACTTTAAGAACAACGGAATGTGACTATCAGAATCATGATAATTAATGCTATTTCGTATTACCATTTCTTATAAATGTGTACGTTACAATGTATTACAATGGAATGTATAATCATATCATCAATATTGATTTCAGCAATGCTAAGCCATAACACGATATGAAATATGAAAGAAATTAAATGAAGATATCGGAGGAAAGTGTTCACACGAAAATATATTTTCCTACAACTTAACCAACATGGACAGCTTTCCAACAAACTTTATGATTAGCGCAATAATTTTTAATTTTCCTATTGTGAATTTTCGATTTCTGGATAGTAACATTTCTGCTACTCCAACCTGGTGTTTTCATGTCGCAGTTGATTCGATGATCAAAGACATGTTCCCAATATCACGACTTCCGTGAAAAAAGTCGTCAACGGACTGGCAAACTCGTAACGCACGAGTTCAAAATATAGTGGTTGATAAAGATTATAGGGGAAGTTATATATATAATGGTTATATCAATCTCATTGAGAAATATTCTTTATCTTTGTACGATATGAAGCTAAATGTGTTTGATGCTAGTTAGTTTGCCTGTTGGTTCTGTTGTTGAATATCATGTTCTCATTTGAAAGCGTAACATTACTTACTTTGATTACAGATTTCGTCGATTAAGGAGAAAACGTTTACATCTCTGGTCTTGTACTTTATCAGGATTCTCCGTGTAAACCATTCTCTTGTTAATGTTTTACTGTAGTTTTATATAATTTGTAATTTGATTATATTTGTGTTGGTATTTTCTTGCTTTTTATTGAGACAAGAGCTCAAGATTATGATATCAAGTCACCAGTATGCCATACAGTGTTCAACAATTTACTTTAACTGGAATTGAAATATTGAAGAATAAACATATCCAACGACTTTTTGTCTTGAAAACTGCAGAACAGGTGCACGTTGAAGGCACTGGAGCTATTTTTTAGTATTCTTAATGCTTGATGGATAACGTCAAAAATGTAACAATATCAAGATCTTAAACTGATAACTGAGTATTTAACTTACCAAACACTTGTACCTCACAAAGCTCTAGTATAGCAAAGTCATCATACCACTCGTGTCGCTTTGGATAGCTTCTGTAGTTGTACACGACAACATACCTAGCTACATATGGGCACTGGTGCGTTACGATCAGTTCTACTTCAGTCAAATTCTTGCTAGTATCTTCGTAACATAGGTTACCCTGTGTCCAGTCCGTGGTATTGGACAAATACAACTGGTAACCTGCAAATCGTCTTTCAAACGCATCTATAATACATCATTGAAAAATCCTGTTAGAAAAGCCATCTCATTAACCATGTGCATTATACTATTCATCATTCCAAAATTGAAATTGTCATCATTTCTAGTCAGTCAATTTTCTTCTCATGGTTAAGCAACATTTAGGATGACTTCGTCCAGTTAGTTTTGATTGACATATACAAGCGGTAACCAATAAATTGTTCCTTAAGCTTATATATGATCGATCAATGGAAACATCCCAATATACGGGTAGAAAAAAAGATATCTCGTTGTTATATTTACATGTAGAATTACCATAGATCATTAAGGGAAAATGTACCACTAAAATAAGGTGATCTTAAACTTTGGTTTGTTCATGAACGTGATTCCATCTTCTCAAATGAGATCAATGTGAACAACAAGGAAACTAACAGGCACACTATTTAACTAAACACCTTTTGTTGATATTCGAAAACTCAAGGTGAGTCTTACTGCTTGTATAATGGTGTTTTGATATACAAATTGCGCAAATGTTTTTAAACTTCAAGCAAACTTTATACATGAACTTATGTACGGATCGATTCAATGGTGATCAAAATATTGTATCCATAATCCTTAATGATGGATACTTTTATTTTTTCTTCATATTTTGATGCTTTGTGCACTTCGAACTCTATAACTGCTATTTTGTGATTTAGTTCAGATAGGAACAGTGTGTATATCATGCCAATTTTAGAATGTTTTTGAAGGGTGTGAAAGTATTATTGTACCATAAAATAAATTATCATAAAAATGTTCTATTGCGTTCTTGAACCGCATGTAATATTCAAAAGTAAACTTTTAAATGTTCTTTGAACCCACCTCGATAGTATATTGTGATGTAATTGATGGTATTTAGACTTCCAAGATCTACCTGCCACCAGACTTCTTTTATAGTATCAGCTGTATGTATACAGCAATTAGAAGATATGTCTTGATTCAAGCATCCGTCTACGGCCCTATCTGCGTTCCAGCTAGGTCTGTATGTACTACTCTGAGTAGTAGTCTTTCCAAACGAGAGGTTTTCTACAACAAACGGAAAACCCTATCATGAAGTATGATTACAACGATCAATTTTAAGGATTTAAATAAGGGTGTTTTGTTTCAATTGTAACATTAAATAAGTAAATCATAAATGTGCTCGGGTTGCATTCAAGAGAGTTTCAAGAGGTAAAATAAATGAATAAATATCGTTACCAAGAAACTACAATTCTGTTTCTCCTATTCATTAACATCCGTAACAGATACGGGAACTGGAACAAAGTCGAATAATGTAATGATGAACAAATGTAACGAGAAATGTTATGTTTATCCACAATCCCTCTCCCTACCCATCCTTACCCGACCCCAACTCACCCCACCTAATTGGTTTGTACTGTCTCCTTCCGGTCTGCAGTAGATGTGTGTTCGATCGATAAACCTCACTTGTATTTCATGGTTTTAAATATAACGTAGAAGGCGCTATGCTTGTTGTGTGTGGAATTTAAAAAGTAACAAAAATAAAACTAACACCTTGATCAGGTGGTTGCTGAAAATTTTGTCTTAGCACTGCATGAAAACTTCCGAGATTGGATAATAAAATATCGTTATCAATAAAATGTTTGTGAATGAGTTTTCATGCGTAAATAAATACATGCAAAAAGATTTAACAAACATATACATTCATAGAAACGCTATTGCAAAAACTATAAATCTTTTCGTGATTTCGGATGCATTCATCTCTTTCTGTAAACGAGAAATATGTCATCTCTTACACGAAAGGTACCGACAGGTCTAGAAACGTTCCGATTAAAATTGAAACTTTCGCTATTTGTATAGAAAGAAAATTCAAAATTTAAAGTTGCCTTTTCCAATATAAACTGTGGTTAAATATACCCCTAAAATTCCCAGTTTTGGTTTTAAGACCCTTGCGTCCACATGAATACTTTAGTTTGACATTATCCAAATATAAAAAGACACGTTTAAAGTATCAAGCAATTCGTTCCGTTTTGCCTCGAGGCCACTAAAGTTCATTCAGAGTCAGTAAATGCATACCACCAAACACCCTTCTATGGTTGAAATGCTCAACAAATCTTAATTCTAAGGGCATTAACCAAATGGAACTTAATTTTCCTCTATACGTCATAGCGAATTTTAGCCCCTCTCCAAAGAATGAATGGGGAAAGTGAGATCCTCGATTAGTTTGATTCATAATTTTCAACTGTTTTTCAATTTGACCCTTATCGGTCCCTCACTAAACCCCCAAGGGGCGTCAAGTATATAATCCAATCCTTTCAGCCAAGTGTGGCAAAATTAAAGTGTGAACTCCAAAGGAGCTGTTGATTTAACTTTAAATTTGTTTGCTCTGTCCCACAACACAAGGTGGTGAAGGCGAATGTACCGACTTGGAATTAAACATGTTTTGTAATAACAACTATATTAAGCCCGTTGCCTGTAAAGTTTGACAAAATATATATTGACAAGACAAATCGAGAACCGATCTGTTTAAGTATATAATTACAACACTGCATGTACTTATATGTTGATCCAAATGATAAAACAATGTGATTATTATGACGTTGTAATGGCCTGTCCTCTCTTTAGATTATACAAGTCGCTGTTGTGATTATTATGAGAACACGTTACCGACTAGGATTTAAACATGAGATAATACTATATTTATCCCGTTCCCTGTAAAGTTTGACAAATACATATTGACAAGACAAATAATGGCTTAATGAATGTCTGGTATAACATACAAATACAGTAGGATAAAATCCTTTAGTTCGCGGTATAGAATTATTATCTGGTCCACATAATTATTACATTACTGCATTTGCAGTGACGGTAATCTCTGAAATTGGATCAGATAAGTACACACAAGTGGTATACATGCAGTACAAACCAATGTTACAAAGGTTCAAAATGTTATCACTTCAATACCTACAATAGTACAATAAAAAATACACATACGTAATACATACATAATATAAAGAAAATTGGAAATAAGGGGGGTTCAAAATTAGCACGGTGCTTCTTACCTTTAGCCTCAAGTCGATTTTCCAAAGTGACACTATCGATGGTCACGTGATATGATATCTATCCGTGGATGGAAAAGTTTAGATACGAGAGGAAAGTTATCAAGCACCTCCGCCAACCGAATAGAGTGCTTAATAAATAAAACGAACTCACATCATAGATGTAATTAAATCAACTTCGTATTTAATTATCATTATAATGACACCATTCTATAATTATGTATATATATAATGATACCGACTTCGTCATTATAATGCTGATCTCGGAAATTTATCAAATTATTATAGATTACATGTCTACCCAATGGATATAAAATTTAATCACGAGATAAAACGAGTTATAATTAAAACAGCTAATATAGCATATAGGCAAGCTCATATTTTCTCGTACCCCTGATACACAAACATGCATACATATGATCGTAAACATATGAATAACAGTTCCGCCTTCTTACCAGCTACATTTAAAAATCTACACATTTTCCTCACTCTTACTGTCAATATCCCGGTGAAAATAAGCACTTACCCTCGGATCGCAATAAATGTGTATAAAATATGAAGAAACAAGCTCCACAAAAGACTGAAATCCTCCTGATAGACATGATTGTAACCCGCACGGGTCTGAATTCACCAACCACAGGTCACCAGGAAGTTATATATATAATGTAATATTATATATATATTACAATTAATGCATGTCACACTGCGGGGAAATTAGTCTACCGGTACATCTCAGCCACATTCTAAATCAGTAATTGTCTTTTAAAAAAAGATAAGAAAATTTATTGTAAAAAAACAATAAATGTATGGGTAGTTATAATAAAAAGTATTTTGATAAAAATCACCAGTTAAATGCAAAATATATATAACATTATTCTGAGTATGGTCAAATAGGCCCCAGATTCGTCAACTCGCCATATTTATTTTCGTTTTTTCCTTATTTCCTCCTGATTATGCATGAATGATAATGTAGGTCAAAACAGTCGAAAAGTTTTATTAATACTCGCGACGAATGACGAGGAGGAGATAAAGGGATACCCAAGAACACGTTTCCTCATCTGTAGTCTTTTTATCAATCTTCACACTTGAATGAAAGGATCTTATATAGGAGAAGTTTTAATTTCATGGTTCTAGGGTAAGTATCCGTAATAAATTCTGGTCACGCTCGCTCCGGTGATGTCATTTGTTAAGAATGTTGAGCAAACTTCACACACGTAAAAAGGGCATGAATCGGTTATGTTTTCGTTTTATGTTGTATTGTCAGGGTCAATGCCATTATAACTATTGAAGTAAATCCTTCTCAGCGCTCTTGTGGCTTCATCTGATTTAGATCAAACATCACACACAAATAGCCAAAGTATCTCGCAATAGATGGAATTTCAGGATTGTCAAGTCAAGGTCACCTTTGCTATTTTAACAAAGTCTTTTTTAGCAATGTAGCTGCTTCATTCCTTGAGGGATTTTAATCACAGGTTACATTCATGTGACAGATCAAATTATCACAAAAAAGAGACGAGTTCGAGTTTCAAGGTTGTAGTGTGAAAATAAATATTAAAACACGAGTAAATGACATGCTGTGTAGAGGTGAATGTAAGTAGATACTCGGTGTAAAAAAAACTTCATTTTTGGCGCATGAGTTCTTTATATCATTCGGTAGATTGAAGGACGCATATACTCCAGTTACACCTGTTTTTACGTAATTTTCGTTTAGATACTGTTGATAAGTAGGCAATACATTTATGTCTCTATAACAAGATATAGTGAGATGATCGCGACTCTAGATATCGATTTGTAGATTATCAGCATTACTAATGCCTTATACCAGTGACATGACAAGTGGCGTTCTTTGTTATGAAACCACAAGTATCGCTATGACTAAAATACCAACTCGGGTATCACATCAGTGTCCGTATGTAGCTTAATATGTGACTATCCAAAACGACATCATTGCCATGCAAATGCAGTTTTGAAGCTAAGCGAAGTGCAAGTATTTTGAATGTAAAGAACAAAACTGCTCTCGTATTTATCATTAAACCTGTTCTTGTATTGTCTGTATGATCTACATAATAAGGATGTCACGTGTTCGTTTATTTGTCTAGCAGGAGATACGGAAATGGCACACATAGCATAAATTATTCAGGCAACTGCTATGACAGCAACTGCTATGCTTCAACTGGTTCTTGTTTTAGTAAGTTGTAACATAAATATAGAGATATTGACTATTGGTAAACACAAAATAACATTTGTATATTTCTGGTGGTTATTAATGAAATTTTACAAAAGGTTTGCAACATTGCTGGAAAATACACAAAAAAAGAAAACATAAACTAGGTGGTCGGGTGGAGCTGTAGAACGCATTCGTCTTTCACCTATGCATCCAGGGATTGATTCCCGGAGCGGACATGAAAAGGTATGCGGTCACCACTGCGATCACGTGGTTTTTCGATGGGTGTTGGGTTCCATCCTGTCTTCCATTCGTGCAAACATGATTGATTTATATAAATTTGGAAAACATGTTTCGAAGTTGTTGTATAATACATAAAGTTTGAATAGTGTTGCTTTGTTTTGGCAGCTTACAGAAATACACAAAAACTACGTAATATGGACATATTTAAAACATTTTGCATCTGGTGAAAACAAGGTAAACAAATAATCATTTTGATTTAAACATATTTTTATTTGCCTAATGAGATAGCAAAATAGTCTGAATATATACTTAGATTTTGTTATATCAATTGACACTTTCTATGCCTGTAAGGTATTTTACTTGACACTTGAAACGGTGTGCATTGTACGTATAATACACATTTTTCAAGTATGCAAAAAAGTTCATATTTTTGTTTTACGCAAACATTTGTGATACACATCCAAAATAAATACATATAGCTCGATTTTGAACTGAAATAAGTCTTCCATATATGGCTGCATACGCCTACAGACTACCTGATACATTCTTTAAAAGCCTGCGACGTTGGACGATACGGACATTGTTTACGTGAAGTATATAAAGCAATTTAAAACATTTAATATTTCTTCTCATTCAATGGTTGTTTCAAGACAATAATGGCACTGATACTTATGTACTAACACAGTGACATAGTATTTCTTTAATAACCAATATTTACCTATATAATGTTTATGTATATTGATATTATATTCCGTGAAAGAAACAACTAAGAATATAAAATCGTCAATTGTAATACATTGATATCGTTACACACTGCTGCGGATAATAACACCCATAAATATTTAATGCATTTTTGTTTTGGTAAGATTGATCAAAAGAATAAACTTTAATGGTATTACGATTTTTGCCTGTTTAGTATGTTATCCAGGGAAGTAGGGTGCGGTGTGTGAAGCCGTTACCGGTTTGTGTAACAAGGAAAACTGTCAATGTATGACAAATGGTGATTATGTGGTTATACTTACTGGTCCAGAATATTCAGTAAACTTTTAAATTTTATTAAGCAGAAATTTTAATTTCTAATCTGATGGTTAGTATCATTAGAGTATCATAGAGAACATAAAACAAACAAACAAACAAAAAGATAATATATTGATAATGAAACAAGCTTTATATTTTTCAGTGAAACAATTGACATTCACTTTTTAATGGATACTTATAGATTTAAATATTCATCGACAAAGCCTAAAGTACAAATAAATGAATGATCCTCTCATTGCGCTCTTTGCAGTCGACATTCGATGCATCATTATCACAGATCTTATTTACTCATTCATTTTCAATTAATGAAGTTGAAGATGGTACAGATAATCAGATGGTTGTTATGTAATTGTTATGGCCGTCAACTGTGGCCTATCACTAGTCCTTAACTTATTTTTGACAATATTTCTGTTTCGGTAAGTTTACTATTCTTTTGAAAGGTTTATAGCTTCCCTGAGTGTGATGTGGAGGTGCAAAAGATGAAATTGAAGTTTAAAGTCGGCTGACTTGGTGTAAACTGATTTCAAAGTACGCCTTGCCTGACGATGTTAACAAATTCAAGGATTTAAAATTTACACTGTTAACATTTACTGATTGCATAATGAGGTTTTGTAGTAGAAATCAATCGCAACCACACAAAAACTTACGTAGGGATCTGATAAATAGATAGATTTTGGGCAGCTAGCTACCTGTTTATCTGATTTTGAAACATCAAAGAAAAGACAATTCCTACTGACATTTTGTAAGCAGTACGGTATGACGAGAATAACTGCTGGGGTCCATCTTTGATTCACTTGTGTTCTTGTGAAATGTGTAATATTAAGATAGGGTTAATGTCCATATTAGCTTTCCTACGGATATTTTATAATATCTACGAATATGTGAACAACTTGTGACCATCTCTTGGCTGACATGTGGTTGTTTCTGTATGAGGCTGAATTTAACGAATGTCTTATCATCACAGGTTACAGAGACCTTGTTAATTCCTTCAATTTCTTTCTCTGATATATTGATTTTGTTTTGTCTTTAACAACAAATGTATATCGTTGTATGTTGTAAATGTTTTATATGCCTTTTCTAACAAAAATTGTTCCATCTACAAGTGTAATAATTTCAGTTGTATATCTGGGCTTGGTGTTTACTGTCTATAGGTATGAAGATCCTCCGACCCCATGTTGTCCCATTATTGCAACAAAATAACTTCACATTAAAGCAGGATAATGTTCGGTTCCTATATAGCGAGGATCTGTTGCGACTTTCTCACTTACAGCAATATCCACCCACTGGACTGGCCGCGACCTGTCCCTTATTGAGCTCTTGTGGGACCAGCTGGATAGACAGGATCAACGACGCCAGCTTCCCCTGTTATCCTGGCCCAACTGAGAACAGCCCTTCTGGAAGAATGGGCCAACACCCCAATGAGGAGGATAAACTCACTCATGAACTCAATGCCTAGGAGAATCCGGGCTGTGGAAAGAGCGAATGGAGGGCATATCCGTTATAAAATATAAGTCGAATTTGGTGAGCATTGTTCCGTGAGGGATATGCAACCCATTACCATGTATGCAATTCCATTGTTAAAGGTGAAATAATACCCTGTAGTCATTAACTGTTTAAAATGTTCATCTTAATTCTCAAACTGAAATAAACTGTCCACTATTTACTAGACCAAGAGATATAAGAGAAATCGTAACACTATCATACGATCTTCCTTCATTTAATTCCCACGAGTATTATCAACTGTTCAAGTATGTTGACAGTGTCTGCAGAATAAGAGAACTTTTCAAGTTTTTTTTTTAAAAAAGTATTGTCATTTAATTTCAATTTGCAAAAGTTCAAATGCAACATACCTAATTTTCACTCATTTCAGTCTTCAAATTTGGCACAAAATTCAGCAACTAATGACAAGAACAAGAGACCAAAGGGCCTTCATGGTCACCTGAAATTATTTTGTTAAAAAAGTAATATAACTTTAACTATATTGTACACATAATGCAAATGTAAATAATGTACAATTAGCGACTAATAACATACTGGTATCACCGGAATCACTGTAAGTAGGAAGTAATAAACAAATTGATCGAAATGAATAAATAAATATTTATTTATTCTTTGATAGCCTATTACTCTATATCTTTTGGGAAATACGTTTTGATA